CCTCTAGGTTTCCCCATAGCGACCCCTAGAGGACGCAGTTCGAAGTTCCCATGAAAGGGAACTTACAGTCTCACTCCACACAAAGTGGAGCAGAAATTTGATCAAAACTATTAAAAAAAATAAAAATAGCCATTTACAGGGTTCGTACGGTCATGAAAAACCCAGAAAGCTTTGGAAAAGTCGTGGAAATTTATTTTACAAATCTCTATACAATATAATGTTTAATCACGTCCTGATCTCCGTGCGGGATTGGGCATTTTGGTTTTACTCATTTTCGCAGGTTTCGCACGTTTGGAAAATTCCCGCAAACATTTATTTAATATGCAACGTAGATTAGATGAGTTAAAAAAAATCTCACAGAATATCAGATTAAGTCAATCATTTGAAAACAGCGTGAGTGGTTCAGCTGTATCGCGTCTTCTCGCTCTCTCTCTCTCTCTCTCTCTCTCTCAAAAATGTTACATAAAGACAATTAAACGGTCAGTGTAAATGAACGGGTTACTAGCAATAGCACAATGATACAAATGAAACAAACTGTGTTTTAACTTTTTTAGGTAGGCTTGCCTAAAACTTAACAGTAGCTTCTACTATTCAGGAACAAAATACTATGATGTATAAAGTCATAGATATAGATTATATTTATATATTAATCCATATTAAATATGAAAAAAGTTATTTAGTCAAGAACAGATTTGAGCAGAGTGATTTTTTTCTTTTGTTCTTTAACACAGACTGACAGACAGCAGGTATAGTAAAAGCTGCTGTCACTCTCATACCCCAAAGCTGTTTCTAAAACGAAATTCAGGTCTTGAGTTTAATTTATAATACTGGCATTTTTTTTAATGTTCATACTAAACAATGCCCACCTCTGACTCCTCTGATCCATTGCGTGGCAACACACAGCCATAAACTTTAACCGCATCTGAAAGATGAGAAAGAGCCTTTCAGTTGAGAGATCAAAACCCTGAAATAACACTGAGCAGAAAAAAACAAAGAGATGTATTATGAAAATGTATTGTCATATCTGTGTCCTTTTATGTCAGATTCTTAAATGTAATAAATTCAATCTGAATAAAAAAGCATGTTGGCTATTAACAATCAAATGAAATCACTATAAACAAAATCCATAGATGGATTTTGCATAAGTTATGTTATTGTGTGATAGGCTAACTCCTATATCGTAGGCATTCCCTCATTAAATGCGCAACGCTGACCTCATACGTCATCCGCCCGGAGCTGCTTCTGTGTACAACAGTGAGCGCAAGCTAGATTCAAGTGATTATTACGTTTTAAATATGGATATTTTTTTTACAAAACGCATCGATTTGCTACAGAAGGCCTTTGTTCACCCCTCGGAGCCGTGTGAGACACTTTTTTTTATGGATGGGCGATTTTTATTTAAGTTCTTTTGGACTGAAGCAATGCAACACCCGCTGAGTGGCATTAAACAGCTTGAAAGATCAAAGACAATTTTTAATATAACTCCGACTGGATTCGTCTTAAAGAAAATAGACATATACAGCTAGGATGCCTCGGGGGTGAGTAAAACGCAGCCTAATTTTCAGTTTTGGGTGAACTAACTCTTTAAAATTTCATTTTTCAAATATCACGGTTATTGTCAATACTGGTATATTATGACAGAGCCACACAACCCCTTCTGTGGATTAATAAATATAATCTATATCTAAAATATGTAGTACAAAATCAGGGTCTGTTTGTTATTTACCATTTGTTTTGAATGTGAATGTGAGAGAATCTTAATGAATACACTCTTTTTTTAACCCAATAATATATTATGGGCAATTTTTAACCCAAACTTAATTTAAAATGTGTTTATGTTTTCTAGGCCCAAGCTCTGTGTTTGAGCTGTTTGGCAGTAAGGACAGAGAGCGGCTGAACGAGATCCGCAGTGTAGCCAAGGAGCGAAATAAGTCCGTAGGAAACCTTTCCTCAGCTGAAGATCGAGCTGCTGTGGTGGCTTCGGCTAAAGCTGCTGTTCTACAGGCCCTGTCCAGCCGTTTCCAGTCAAACACCCCACAGCCCGATTCTCTAACCTCTCCAGCCAAAACTCAGGCTTCCTCTGAAACGCAGATGGCTTTGAATGCTTGGTCCGGTCCCACTGCAGATGCTAGCAAAACCTTTAAACCTTTTGCAAAAAATCCCCAGAAACAGGCTCGCTATGATCTGTACATCAACAAACTCAAAAAGGACGATAAAGGTGAATTGGATCAGTTATGTTTGGTGTGATTTATCCTAGACTTTGCTAATTTGGGCTTAGCTAAATATCTGATTTCTACAAATCTGATTGTAGATGCCCTGGAGTCGAGTCTGGACTCTTCCATGACGGAGTGGGAGAGATGGAGAGAAAGGGAGGAATTTGTGCGTGCTGCATTACTCTATAAGCCCAGCAACTCTTCTCTCTCCTCACGTTTCACACGTGGCAAACATGAGGATGATACAGACAGTGTTGAGGTCACACGGGATCAAGAGGTACAGAGTTACCTTCAGTTCAAGCGCTTAAGTGTACTTAGCAATAAGTTCATGAAATTTGTTTAGTTAAACTGGAACTAAAAAGGTGCTTATGGTTCAAAAATAGTTCACCATTTATTATATTTGTACTTTAATATCCACTCTCTTTTTTTAGAATGATGTGGATGACAAGCAGGCCGCTGTGAAGATGAAGATATTTGGAAAGCTGACCAGAGACACTTTTGAGTGGCACCCTGATAAACTATTGTGTAAAAGGTTCAACGTTCCAGACCCTTATCCAGGGTAAGACAGATTTTCATCATATGCTGTATCTGAAGATATTCCTTTACTATTTGAGTATATTAAGGACAAAGCAGGACAAAACAAAACAACATTGGTGATTTGCACTAATTGGAAGGAGTACACAATACAATTATGATAATTTTCAACCTCAAAGAAAATACAAGTAATGTTAATGCAATGTGTGTTTTAGTTTATTTTTTTGTACTTTCCACCAACTTTTAAATAAATACAAAATTTGATTAAAATGATTACATTTAAATTTACATTCAGTCACTTTTATTGCTTAGATATTTCTTTTTCATTTTTCTTTTCATGCTAACAATATTGTAGTAAAATTAAAGGGGTCATATGGTGCCTTTTTAAAGATCATTATTTTGTGTATTTGGTGTAACAGAATATGTTGACATGCTTTAATGTTCAAAAAACACATTATTTTTCAAATACTGTACATTATTGTAGGTCCTCTATGCCCCGCCTCTCTCAAATGCTTCGTTTTCTACAAAGTCCCTCCTTCCGACAAGCGCAGTCTGCTCTGATTGGCCAGCTGACCCAGTGCATTGTGATTGGCCGAACACCGCAAGCACTCGTCGGAAATGTAACGCCCCTTACTATAATCGCGAGCTTCATCTTTCAAAATAAATGTAAAGACAGTAAATAATGTCATTAGTTTTACTATCAGTTCAAGCCCGAAAGGGGAACAGACACAGTAATGATGCAGTACACAAGACGTGGTTAAGACAGCTGACTCCACTTTGATGCTCTTTCCATTTATCCTGTCTGGCTTGTGCAGGTCCAGTACTGTGGGAATGCCTAAAATAAAGAGAGATAAGTACTCGGTCTTTAACTTCCTGACAATAACGGATAGCAGCCAGGTCAGCAGGGAGGCCCCGAGTGCTTCCAAACCTACCAGCTCCAGCACAACCCTTCCCCATTTGACTCCAGAAGTCAATAAGAAATCCAGGTGGGACATAGCAGGGCAGGTATCTGAACCTAAAGACCCACTTCGTGCGTTCCTCAGTGAAACGCGCAGTGAAGTTTCAGCGGCCAAGCAAATCGAAGCTGGGGCCAAGAACCAGACCGACTCTTCACATGCTTCTGCTACTCCAGAGGTAACAGTGGATACTTGACTGTATTCATTTAACTCTAATTGTTAAAAAGCCTCCTAAAGAATACATTTAGAAAGTTTCTCTTTTACAGAAATAAATTTAACGCTAAAGTATTTTTAATTTAGTACTGTATACAACGTAATCTCAATGTAACAATCACGCTTTTATGCAGATAAAAGTGGCACAGTCCGATGGGAAGCAGACTGAGCCAAAGACTGATGAGGAGGAGAAGGAAGAGGACGAAGAAGAAGTGAGGCCTCCTATGGATCTCTTTAAAGCCATCTTTGCCAGCTCTTCAGATGAGAAGAGCTCATCTTCATCTGAAGAGGATAGTGAAGAAGAAGAGGTGGCCCCTCTTCAGAGCAGTGCAGAGACACTCAACCCACCCATCTCAGCTCAGATCACTCCTGCTCCTGACATCAGCAAAGTGCCAGGTATAATCTGAAGATGAGCAGCTCCACAAAAATCTCTTTCATTGATTCAGATGTCAAATTGTCATAATCGTTTATTGACTGTTTTCTCTTCCCCTCAGATTTAAAGCATCTTACAGTCCAGAGCAAGCCATCTGCTGAAACAACTACAGCACAAAATACCCAGTCCTCCTCCCATAGTGCTCCTGATAAATCACAAGGCCTGGATGAAGAGGAGTTTGGCCCCAGACTGCCACCTCCTGGTCAGTCACTGTAACCACTGCAGTAATAGTAACTTGCATTGGAGTAAATAAATGTCTAAAGCATGAATGTCACTAGATATCCTAAAATGATGGAATTGATTTCAACTAAAACCTGCAATACACTACACGATTTCCACCGTTTACACTCCGAAGTAGTTGACGCTACTTTGCTGAAAGTCAAAGCCAGTCTGAAAAATCTAAATCACGTAGTGTATGATGAAGCTTTTTTTTTTTTAGCTTCAGTCTATAATTCCATCCAGTCTGAGGAGATCAAACACGTTAGATTTTTTTTTTGCCGATCTTAGAACACATTGTTTTCATTTGTCAGTAGTCTCCTAGCAACAGTGCGCATGTTTCTGTATGAGTTTGTTGTGATCGGAACAACTTTAAAGTCTGGTAATGATCCTCAGTCGTCTAGTGTATGATGGACAGTTTGCCTCTGTCACTATTTACAAAGTCGGTAAGTGTATGATGCCTAGTGTTTTAAAAACCTGTTCAGATTTTAAAAGTCGTGTAGTGTATTCAAGCCTTTAATCACACAAGACATTGTTTCTTTAATATCTGAGACTTCTGAATATACAGGTTCAGTAATATTAGTTATTACTTTTTTCTCTTTCATCCAGGACTTTTCACTAGCCTGTCTTTTATATTAACATGACGTTTTACATTGTGTGTCTCTTTACCAGGGTTTATCCCATCTGCACACTCGCCGCAGCTGAAGAAACAACAGAAGAAAGATAAAGAGAAACACAAAGCCAAGAAACACAAAAAAGAGAAAAAGGTGGGTTCTTCTGGAGCAGATGAGCCCAGTCTGACTGCCGGACATCTTTGCAAAATTAGAAAGTACATTTAATTAAACTTTTCTTCTTTTTTTCAGAAGAAAAAGAACAAGAAACATAAGCATAAAGGGAAACAGAAGAAGAGGGTAGATGAGTCTAATAGGAGCTCAGACGACACAGTGAAGATGAAAATAGAGTTGTGTCTACTAGTGAACTGCTCCAGAGGTCAGAGCTCATATTTTTAATCATAAAGCATTTTATAATGCATCTTGTAAATGGTAAGGTTATCTTGGTATACATATTAGTAATTTAAAAGCTTGAAATATGACTATTTCTCTTTCTCTCTCTCTCTCTCTCTCTCTCTCTCTCTTAGTATAAACTCTCTCTCTCTCTCTCTCTCTGGCTTAGGTTAAAAAACATCAGGAACAAGAGATAGAATGTGTCTGAAGAACCAAGAGTGAAGATTTTGTCTTACAGAAACTTCAAGATGAATACTAATTGTGTGTGTGTGTGTGTGTGTGTGTGTGTGTGAGAGAGAGTGAGAGAGAGAGTGTGTGCGTATGTTTTGTGTGTGTGTTGGTGCATTTAAGTGTACCTAATGGCGAATGTGTTATGATTGCAGATATTTTTTAATAAATTAATAAAAAACAAAAAGGTGAGTGATTATTATATTAAAATGTCAACCAGCTTTACTCTAATTCTGTACTGTTTCATTCATTGAAATGTTGCTGACAGTTTAGGTGCCGTAAGTGAATATAAAATATTCCAGATTAATACAAATATTCCCCAGCCGACCTCGCCCAGATTTTAATTGTCTAACATCTGAATCAGAATCAGAAAAGACAGGTGTGTTTACACAAGGAATTTGTAATGGTGACAGTAGCTTATAGTGCTAAAAAAGTACAGACATAGTGCAGACATACATATAATAAAATGTAACATAACACAAACGATGAAGAGAAAACAATACATTAAAAATAATATGAATAATAATAATAGCTATGTGGCAATAAAAATGTAGAGAAAAAATACCAATAGATCTGCTATAAACCTTTACACCATGTGTAACTAAGTGTGTGATAAAATCCAACACAGTAGAAAATTAAAATATATGTATTTTGCACTTTTGTTGAGATATGTAAAATTATTTGAAATATCTCAAGATCTGGTCATGATCTGATTTGTGTCTTAAAGGGATATATAGTTGACAACAAAAAATCCTGTCAATTAATCACGTTCATCACATTTGTAAAGTGTAACTTATCTTTTACACCAGATCGAATAGCGCGCATGTGGAAAAAAATTAAGCGAAACCTATATAACTTAAATGACCAAAATGGTGTCAATACTATGCTGTTTCGGCGCGCTGTGTTAATTTCAATAACAGATTTATGAGTCCTTTCGTTCTTCACAAATATACTGTACTTCGTTTTGAATGAATAGCCTATATGTATACAGGTATATATACATTAAGTGCCGACCAATCACGCAGCGGCGCCGTGGCTTAGTTGGTTAAAGCGCCTGTCTAGTAAACAGGAGATCCTGGGTTCGAATCCCAGCGGTGCCTTTTTTTGTACCATGCACGCACAACAATACTTTTAGGTAACTTACATAACACCAGATAAAATAACAATATAATAAAACATTGCATTCAAAACGGACTAATGCGACTGGAAATGTATCGCAAAGACATTCTAGTCATGTACGTTGTAGAAACTGAGCAAAAACTTTTGAATTTAGAAACCAGTCGGTCCACAAATCTTTCAAATGACTCTAACACGATATTTGTATTGCTAAGCATGGTAAATAATAAAATGGTGCACACGCCATGATTGCCAGCGATGCATCCCTCCGTCCACAAGAGTGCAGGCGTTCACTGCCAGCTGGTGAGTCTCCTCCAGACAAACCATGAAAACAAACCAAGGCAAATTCTATGAAAAAAAAAAACTGTTTACATGAAGCCATCATAAGATCTTACACGAATGCATCCAGTCTTTTGTATTAAGATGTTACATTTAAGTTAAACATCTACGTTTACATCAGCATCATGTTATCTTGGTGTTTTGAATAATGATCTCAGCGTTATTTTGCATGAGATGCGCTCCAGTAGTCTTCGATGGACAGATGAAGTCCACTGAGCTGCATTGCCGCTATTACTTCACCATACATCTTATTACATAATTGGCACACAGTGGAACTATATGGAAGTAGTGGAACGATATTACTACTCGTAAAGATATATTGCAAAAAGAAAAGAAAAAGATGTAATGAGTAATAAGTAAACATAAAAGGCTTAGTGATCGCCACAAGAGCATTAATTAATTGATGAAGAATATTGTGTCCTGTGCTGCTGTCCCCACTGAACCTCCAATCCCGTCTCTCCTCTGAAGGTCTCTCTGTCTGAGCCTCTCAGAAAGAGGGAGAGACGCTGCTTTTGATGCTATTGCTCGAGCTAGACGCTAAACCGAGCGCAAGCGTGAAACCGACACGAGATGCGCTGCAAAATCTATCTGGATTCGGAGGAAATGAGCTGAGCTGTGAACGAGAAGAAGATGACAGTGATGATGGAGAGGATCGGGGCGATTCGGCTTTACCTTGTGAAATGGATTTGTCTACGCTGGGCTTGGGTTTGTGTGGGTAAGTAGACTTCTTAAGGATTGTGATATTATAATCGTCGTGTATTTAATAGAACAAAAGGTGCACGGTTGATTTATATTTGAGCAGTCAAGCTCTAGCTCACTTTTTATTGCATTTTACCTTTTGCAGCCCACGTGTCAGAATAATATTAAATATTTCAGGTGATTACAGGTTGAAGTATATGCGAATGGCAGCGATGACAAAGAAAGGTTAAGCGGCGCACGCAGGTTTTGCAGCATTCATACTGGGAGAACCGAGGAGGACAGATCCGAGTTTGGCTTGTTGTCATGGCACTTATAAACACGGCGGTATCAGCCTGATCTCCTCCAAGACCGACTGGCTGATTGTGTGTTTTTCTAAAAAATGTGCATTATTGTGCAGCCTTCCTGGATAAAAAAAACGCTAATGGAGTTGTTCACGTGCACACCTTCTCGTAATTAAAATGTAAACATTACGTATACCACTTACCAATTTTGCTCAGATGGTTCGCTGGTTTCCCAGGCTGGTCTATTAGTTGGTTTTAGAAATGTTTGGGACACTTTTCAGTAGGTCAGACTCGCACCTAAACCTACTGAGCACCAGCATCTTCCAGGCTTCCTTAAACCAGTCCAAAACATAATATGCTACTATATTAAGATCTGATCATGTGTTATATACTTTTCGACCTCCTCAGCATTTTGAGCATTGGTTTTGAGCATTAAATCTATGTTCACAACTAGACAGCAATGCTTTCACGGTCTGCCAAGCACTGGGCATCTGATCTCACCCATAATCTATTCCTAGATAGCACTCTAGGCTTGTTTGAGTAACACATGATCTGTTGAGGTCAGCTAAATGCTCAACAAACAACCGCAGATAAAAGAGAGTGAGAAAGAGACGCCTGCTTTTACTCAAGCAGATGCTCTCATACCAGAGACAGAAGCACAGAAAGGGAACAAATGGCTGTGGTGTATTGGAGGTGGTATCTAGTCCAGGGGTGGTGACAAAAGAGGGTTTGGTTGGGGGTGGGGGCATGTTGATAGTACCAATGACACTTAGAGCTCTTCATCTCACACACACACACACACAGACAGACAAAGGGACCTTCTTCTCTGTTTCTTTATCACTCTCACACACCCAAATGCAAGCCTTTCCCATTGACTCTGGATATTCCATGTCCAGACATGATTCCCCCACTAAATATGAGTGTGAATCACTGATATTTATACAGTGTTTCCCTTTAGAGGATGTTCCATCTGGTAAATGAAGACAATGAGGATGTTAAATTCAACTGTAATAGTTTGCAATAGTTCTGAAATGAAAAACAACCAATCCAGAATGTGCTCATTTGTGTTTATAGGAGATTTGGTAGGATTTCATTCAGGGAAAGTAACAAAGCAGACACAGAAATAATATGGGGAAGACTGCTTTGAGTTCAGGTTATTTAAGCCTCACTGCCTTATTTTCATCGGTGTAAAATTCAATGTGTTGCCTACCCTGATTAAGATTATAATTTGTGCTGTATGTATCTGGGGAAGTAAAAAGATATCAGTGAGCCTTGAGACTCAATATATCAATATCCTAAAATGATTTGTGCTCATATGCTCAGGATTCCCCTGATCTCTGTCCTGTTCTCTCACACAGAGAACGGGGTATTATTAGCTTCTTCCTTTCAGCTCCTAGACATCATCATATTATATATAGAGTAAAAGCAGTCACTGGGTGTGTGAGAGATGTGTGTTCATCCTGGAGGGTAATAAGTAAGTGTCAAGGATGGAGCTGAGGAGAGTGTTACATCACAACATGTGCTGCCATCTGTATTCAGGGATCTCATGTCATGCAAAACATAGAAATATCAGGGAATTTTATCATTGTAATTTCTAGTTCTTAAAAGGTCATGGAACTATTAAAGAGAATATTTGTCTTGTTGTTCAGTTTTAAATGTATTATATATTTGTGACCCTGGAGCACAAAACCAGTCTTAAGTCGCTGGGGTATATTTGTAGCAATGGCCAAAAATATATTGTATGGGTCCAAATTATTGATTTTTATTTTATGCCAAAAATCATTAGGATATTAAGTAAAGATCATGTTCCATGAAGATATTTTGTAAATTTCCTACAGTAAATATATAAAAACGTAATTTTTGATTAGTAATATGCATGACTAAGAACTTCATTTGGACAACTTTAAAGGCGATTTTCTCAGTATTTAGATTTTTTTTGCACCCTCAGATTCCAGGTTTTCAAATAGTTGTATCTCGGCCAAATATTGTCCTATCCTAACAAACCATACATCAATGGAAAGCTTCTTTATTCAGCTTTCAGATGATGTATAAATCTCAATTTTGAAAAACTGACCCTTATTTTTTATACCCTTATAAAAAAATATACCCTTATTATAGGTTTTGTGGTCCAGGGTCACATTTTAATATATATTATTATATAAAACCCTGTAATCACTAATGACCGGAAAAGTCAAGGTCTATTATTATTAATAATGATAGATTATATTTTTATATTTATATATATTATATGAAATATTTTTAAATCCAGTAATCACAAATGACCGGATAATTCAAAGATTATTATTATTTATTTATTTATTTTTATTATTATCTAAAAATCCAGAAATAACGAATGATTGGAAAAGTCTGGGAAATTCATGTGTCTAAAGGTCCATAAATAGACAGTTCTTTACTGTTCTTTTTTGTGTGTGTGAGACTTTAGCATAAATGAAAGGAGAAAAAAATGCTAAAGAAAACAGTTAATAGTTTATATGCTTACTTGGACTTTCTCTTTCTTCCTGGACTATTTCTGTTGCTTCCCAGGCTATTTCTTCCTTGTCTTATTGTATTTCTGTTGAGATTCGTAATCATTAGCACACACTCTCACACACGTCCCCACTAAATTGAGTATTATGTGTCAGTGCAATTCCACAGGCACTCTCTGATCCTTCTTGAGTGAGTGGATCAAATTCTTGCCATCATATATACCTCAGGAATCCATAAAGCCTGGTGTGATGCGTTGATGTCATCTCAATCACAGTGTGTTAGTAGCTGTGGTCACTCATGAGTCACTCACACACAAACAATGCACATGTCTTCTGTGTGTGTTCCTCAGCTGCCTGTGGTGGGAAAGTGGAGTTACACACCGAGAGGAGAGGAGTGATCTACAGCCCATCATGGCCCCTCAACTATCCGCCCGGAGTGAACTGCAGCTGGAATATACAGGGAAGCCGCGGAGATGTGATCACAATCAGGTAGATGCACACAAGCAGTCTCTCACAGTGGTGATTAAATGAGTGGTGACTTATTTATTTCTATTACCATGATACATAACAAAATGTCCCACCAGCATCTGTCCTGTTCATGGGGTCTGTCCCGTTCTTGTGCAAGGAATGCTGCTTTTCATGAACATCAATTAGTCACAGCAGCTTTCACACTGATAGAAACCCCATGGCCAATTGTATGACTGTATGGTATTTCCAAACAAAAAAAACAATGTAAGTGTTTTTCAAACGAATGAATTGTTTTTTTGCATTTCAGTGTTTATGAGCCTGTTTGCAAGTGCATGTTAGTTTGCGCATTCTTCCATATGAAAGTGCTTAGACTGCTGTATGACTAGAGCTGACTGCAGGGATTTTATAATGTACTATTTCTTGCCTCTCCTGCCACTGTTTTGTGTGTGTGTGTGTGTGTGTGTGTGTGTGTGGGCTTCGTCACCGCTTTAATGATATTATCTAAAAGCATGACATCATCTCTTCTGAGATTTGAACCTTGAAGTGGAAAAGGATAATAGTTCTGATAAATAGAATTTTAATTTATTTTAATCCATACTGTCTAATTACTCATTGTCTAAAAGCTGGAGTAGAGGCATTTATGCAACACTTGATCAATCTTTTTCTCAAATTGCCTCAGACAGACTGACATCTGACCCGCTCATCTAGTACTGGGATGAGATTTCTTTTGTGGGTCCCTTTTATTTTCCTGCTGATATTTTCTCTATTCACAATGCAAAAAAAAAAAATGATTCTATGTGTTATAAAGAACAATATTAACATTTGTAGTTTTTAAAGGTAATTAATGTTTTTTGTTGTTTTTTAAAGTAAGCTATAATTTATTAGGAGTTCAATTTCAAATAAAAGCTTGCTGTTTGTCTTCCAGCAAGCCAGTGTTACCTTGATTTAAATTTGCCAATTTCACAATGTTTAATACATCAAAAAATCTAAACAGTGCATAAAAACACTTGTGTAAGATCACTGAATATAAGCCATTGTTGCAATGCAGCACTGGCCTGATAGGTAAAGAGGCAGTTATGCCAACTGGCCAAAAACTGTTTGGCACTGGCCCCAGGCCATCAGGTCATCCTTATTGTTGAGACCTGTCTGAAATATTCAGAAGCTTTGCATAATGTGTATGTGCATGTCCATTTAAATGACAGCCAGAGGAGATTTGAATGTCTGTATTTTGATGACTGTAACTATACTGTGAAAGTGCTGTTTAATAATGTGTATTTTATCATATCAATTAAAATAGATTCTGCAGAGTTATTGGGTCACACAGTAGGGGTGAAAGTCATATCTCTGCATTCTGATGAATTAACCATTTATTTATTTTATTTTATTTTTAGTGCTTATTCTTGCTTATGGCTGAAATAATTGTGATATCATATTTCAGCCTCAACTATCATTAATCTTTAGGTGAAATCTGTTTACGAACATCTGAGGATGTCTTAGTCATGTTTTGCCACTCAAATGGTCATGAAACATTAGCAATTTATTGTAAAACAAACAGCAGACTTTAAGTAGAGTTTTGTAGCAAAATCTGGGGAAAAAGAGAGATAAGAAAGAGAACATAGCAATAGATATGTAATGTTATCAAGTTATTGGCTGCAAATGGCCCATTCTTCTGTAATATACTGGATGCTGATTTTATAGGGTCATTCCTATTATGTGGAAAAATCAATATGATTGTGCAATTTAAGGAGGTATCACAGGAAATACTATGATATCAATGAAACAGTTTTCCTAAGGAAAACAATTAAGAAGCACATGTAATATTTCTTAATACATTGGCATTTTTTTATTTTAATGGCATGGCAAAAAAGGCTCAAACCATCCATTTAAACCAAAGAAGCAAAAAATTAATTTCTTTGTTGTGATAGTATAAAACTTGGGATTTTTAATGTTAATATGTATATTAAGTATGTTATTAAGTATAATAATTTTAATATGATATAAATACCAATCATATGATTAATTATATACAAAATTGATATCTTATATTAAAATAGATATGATGGGCAGTTGAAAATATTCTGCAAGTATATTAGTATATTAAGTATATTTTCCAATATACTGCTCACCTTTTACACAAACAGAAGGGGTTGGTGTGGTTGCAAATGTAACCTTGAAATGAAAACGAAACACATAAAAGGGTCACATAAGGTGAAGAGGAGAAAACAGCTCTGCTATGCTTGGATAAAGTTGTTTTATTTTTTTAGAATATTAATTTGACATTTTTTTAATCTTCTTTTTATCGATTTATTGTGCCTCTGACATTTCATTTGATGATATTGTTCTAGAAGTTTTTATGTAGTATACACTATTATACAGTAGAAGTGCTGAAGCAGCAGAGATGTATTAAGCACCGTGTGTTTGCCGTGTCCAGTTTTCACAGCTTTGATGTGGAGGACACGGGGGACTGCAGGGGCGACTGGCTGCTGCTCGGCCCCACATGGAAAGCTGAGTATCGGTTCTGTGGCTCTGTTCTTCCTCCTCCCTTCATCTCCTCCAGAGGACGAGTCTGGGTCTACTTCCACTCTCAGGCTAACAGCTCTGGACAGGCACAAGGCTTCAGACTATCTTACATTCGTGGTGAGTGAACTTAGAGTGTGAATATGTTCCATTAGAGCCCATTCTGCTCTTTTGTGTTTTATAGTAAAAGTGGTTCATACTTGTGTCCTATATTCCAAGTCTTCTAATATGATAACTGTGTGAAAAACTCATTTTCTGTCATTTTCTCTACTGCCAATACTCACAAATTTAATTTATGTATGTACACATTCAATCCTGGTGCCTCACAATGCGTCATTTGTTATTGTGTCTCATAACTAATTGTCATGCAACAAGTTATAGACTTAGCATAGCATAGACTAGCGTTCAGAAGTTACTAAGATTCACTGAGATAGCGGTCACTGAGATTTTTAAAATATTTTTGAGCTAAGTGCTCACAAAGGTTGCATTTATTTGATCAAAATAACAGTAAAAACAGTAATATTGTCAAATATCTTGAATAACTATTTTATGTAAATATAATTTATTCCTGTGATGGCAAAGCTGAATTTTCAGCAATCATTACTTCAGTCTTCAGTGTCACATGATCCTTCAGAAATCAGAAATCCTTTCTGAATAAAAGTACATTTTTTCAATAAAAATAAATCATACTGACTCCAAACGTTTGAACAGTATTGTCAGACTCTGTCCCGTGTTTTGTGTGTGTTTTCTGTGACCCAGTTTCTGTCTCCCGCGTATTTCATCCCAGGTGTTTCCCATGTGTAATTTCCAGTGATCCCACTTAGTCCCTCGTCATCCTGTGTAAAAGTCTGAGTCCTTTTAGTTAGTGTTGTCCGTATTGTTTGTGAATGTCAATTCCTTGTGCTACGTGTGATTCCCCGCGACTTAAATAAACTCCTTGGTTTGTACTCCTGGTCTCCTGGTTTCCTCGTTCCATGCTCCTCACAGTAGCAAACCCGTGACAAGTATTGTATAATTGTATCAAATTTTTTTTTTACATTTTTAGGTGAACAAGACTCCAAACAAGTACAGTGGTGATGCCATATTATGCTTTTGTGTTCTAGGATTTAATATCAATTGATTGGGCATATATATTTTTTTTTTATCATACTTTATGCATTTCCTGTTGAGTTGTAATTTTTCATCAGATTTAGTTGTTTTCCTACATTAGAGCCACTAAATCACAAAGGCTGTTGCCGTGGCATATAGATTTACTGTAAGCACAGACTGACCAGGCGAATGCAGGCTATCAATAGTATATGGCCATAGAGCTGTGATGAAACGCTAATGCTTTGCAGCACTTGTTACATAATGATCTGTGCATATTTGGATTGCACTACTGTCAGTGTGTATTAGACAGATCTCAGCTGTTTATTATTTAGTTAGATCTAATATGTAGCTAATGAAGATGAAGGAGATAATTGGCTGTCGTTACTCAACTCCACGGGGCATGTGTACATGTGAGGAGTGAAATGCTGTGTTTGTGCATTTTCCTCAGAGGTGCAGTTCAATCAATAATACTGAACGGCTGTGTTTGTTAAGCTGTCATCAGGCAAACACCATCTGCAGAGTGGGTAGATTTGATTGGCTTATTTCAGCAAACTGTCAGTGTTTACGTGTGCAAAAGACTCTCTTTGTCTCTGTCTGTTTTTTATTCATTAGGTCGACTGGGTCAGAGTAGTTGTGAGAACGATGAATATTTATGTGGAAATGGTAAGTGCATTCCACGTTCCTGGCGCTGTAATGGATTGGACGAGTGTGGAGACAATACAGACGAAAGGAGCTGTGCTACCCAACCAACACCTGCCCGGGTCAGTCTGTGTCCTCCTGGTACCTTGCAGTGCTCTGATATCCAATCTACCCGCTGTCTGCCGGTGTCTCTGCGCTGTAATGGAGCCCGGGACTGTCCTGACGGATCCGACGAGGCCCACTGTCCCGAAACGTCCTGTGGAAAACGCTTAGTCAACTTCTATGGGACGTTTGCCTCACCTGATTTTTTCCGTCCAAACAGGAGCGCTGGCACAGATCTTCACTGCACATGGTTCCTAGACACACAAGTACGATAAGAACCTCATATATTCTTATTTTAGGTTGCATTAAATCACATACAGCATACTGCTTAACTGTTTTTGTTTCAGGACCCAAAGCCGTTGGTGCTGCAGGTGGATCTACAGCTGGGTGTGGGAGACTCTGTCCGTGTTTACGATGGATTGGGAGAACGTGCAGAACGCCTTCTGCAGAGTCTCTCTCACCATAATAACCACAGACGAGCCCTGCTGGAGTCGTCGCAGGGACAGATGAGCATCTTCTACCACGCCAAACCACACAGCCCTGGACACGGATTCAACGCCACCTACCAGGTCTCTCATTCTTGGTGATGCTGATAAATTATGTTCTCCATTTGCATTGACATTGTGTGTCTTGATTGAATACTTTGCAATAGTACTGTAACGGGTCGTTGTATCAAAAGATCACGTAGACCATGATCAGGGGCCCGTTCTTCGTACGTCGCTAACTCAGTTAGCTGGATTTGATTGTTGACGATTTGGCATGATCTTGGATTATTTGGTTCTTTGAGCACCCTCCAGTGCCAGCACAACGTAAGCGCTACCCTGATCCCTAGTTAAGCCCACGGAGGGCTCCTGATCCCGAGATAAACCCAGGAAGGGCTCCTGATCCCGAGTATAGCCCACGGAGGGCTCCTGTTCCCGAGTTCAGCCCAGGAGGGGCTCCTGATCCCCAGTTCAGTCCAGGAGGGGCTCCTGTTTCCGAGTTCAGCCCAGGAGGGGCTCCTGATCCCCAGTTCAGTCCAGGAGGGGCTCCTGTTTCCGAGTTCAGCCCAGGAGGGGCTCCTCGTATTCTGTTAATTGCATCCCAGGTGTTTCCCATGTGTAATTTCCAGTGATCCCTGGTGTGTCTCCTTAGTCCCTCGTCATCCTGTGTTTAAAAGTCTGAGTCCTTTTAGTTAGTGTTGTCCGGTATTGTTTGTGAATGTCAATTCCTTGTGCTACGTGTGATTCCCCGCGACTTAAATAAACTCCTTGGTTTGTACTCCTGGTCTCCTGGTTTCCTCGTTCCATGCTCCTCACAGTAGCAAACCCGTGACAAGTATTGTATAATTGTATAAAACATTTTTTTTACATTTTTAGGTGAACAAGACTCCAAACAAGTACAGTGGTGATGCCATGTTATGCTTTTGTGTTCTAGGATTTAATATCAATTGATTGGGCATATATATATATTTTTTTATCATACTTTATGCATTTCCTTTTGAGTTGTAATTTTTCATCAGATTTAGTTGTTTTCCTACATTAGAGCCACTAAATCACAAAGGCTGTTGCCGTGGCATATAGATTTACTGTAAGCACAGACTGACCAGGCGAATGCAGGCTATCAATAGTATATGGCCATAGAGCTGTGATGAAACGCTAATGCTTTGCAGCACTTGTTACATAATGATCTGTGCATATTTGGATTGCACTACTGTCAGTGTGTATTAGACAGATCTCAGCTAGCTCTATTCTGGAAAAGAGGGCGGGGAGCAGCAGCTCATTCGCATTTAAAGAGCATGCTCTAATACAGTGTTTCAGCTCCCACTTAAAATAGGCATTTTCAAAATGATATAATAAAAGATCTTTGGGGTATTTTGAGCTGAAACTTCACAGACACATTCTGGGGACACCTGAGACGTATATTACATTGTAAAAAGGGGCATAATATGTCTCCTTTAAAGTGGCAATAAAGACAGTTATGTTTAAAAAATATTTCAAATAAATGCTGTTCTTTTGAACTTTCTATTGATCGAAGAACTCTGTAAAAATGTATCATGATTTCTACAAAAACATTAAGCAACGTGGTCGTTTTTAATAATATTTATTGATAATAGTAATTGATAATAGTAAGAAATGTTTCTTGAGCAGCAAATCAACATGATTTCTGAAGGATCATGTGACACTAAAGGCTGGAGTAATGGCCACTGAAAATGAAAAAAGTCCCATCACAGAAAAAAATTGTTATATATAAAATTTTAAAATACATTGTAACAGTTGTTGTTTTTACTGTATTTTTTAATCAAATAAATGCAGCCTTCTTTAAAAAACAAAACAAAAAAAAAATTAAAATAATCTGCCACACTTTAGTAAGGACCAATTCTTACTATTAACTATATTAATACCTACGACTTTTGTCTCAATACAAAAACATTTATTTCAATGGAAATAAGAAAAACAAGAAAAACATTTATTTGCCAATAGGTTAAGATTATTTTGATTCTCAAATAAATGTATCAGTAACACGTTAGAATAGGGAACATATATTCACTATAAACTAAAAGTTTTCCCTAAACAAGCCCTTAATTTGCTGCTTATTAATAAAGAAATAAATAAAAAAGAAAAAGAAAATGTGCTTTATAAGTATTAATAAACAGCCAATATGTCAGTAAGATGCATGCTAATAAGCAACTAGTTAATTGTGTGAATTTTTCCCTAAACTTAAAGCTGGAGACCGTAACTTTTTTTGGTTCAAAATAATCAATATTTGAGCAAGCACATAACCAACCAGTGTTCAAAACTATCGCCTTACTTTAGCCCGATTCACAGCGGTTATCTTATAATAATGTTTTCTAAATTGAGTGGTACGGGTAGGTGTTCACGGGAAATTCAAGCATGCTGCTGCGTCATTACGTCACGTCTGTAAACATAAAGAAGTTGTCCCAGTGTTGTGCCAAATTCTGCACCCCTGCCAGATTATGCACCCCCTTGTTGCAACCCACGCAAGGAAGATAATTCCGCAAACTGCTGCAATTGCAGGTTTTCAAACAGAGATGGCGAAAAAGAGGCAAAATTTACGGACTGCAGCTTTAAGTGTTACCAAAAATCTTACCGACCTCCAATTTTTGAACAGTAGTGTGTATAGAAAAAAAATCAGTTCAAAAAGTGAAAAATGTTCTTGTCTTGTTAATACATTATGGTATGAAGCTACAGAGACACTATACTATGGCTATAGAGAAGCCAAACTTCCACAGTGCAGCTTTAATTAGATATCCACAAGCAAAACTGTGAAGTAATCTGTACTTACTGCAGTTTATGGCTAGGATTGATACACTGTGACACTAATAATGTTTAACCTCCGTCCCTCTCTCTGCAGGTTAAAGGGTACTGCTTTCCAGGTGAGCATCCATGTGGCACAGACGAGGGCTGTTACTCTGAGCTGCAGCGCTGTGATGGCTACTGGCACTGCCCTGGGGGGCGAGATGAGGAGGACTGCCCGCTGTGTCTGCCGGGAGAGTATCCCTGCGAGGGTGGCAGTGGGGCGTGTTACTCAGCCTCCGAGAGGTGTAACAACCATAAGAAGTGCCCCGATGGCTCAGATGAGAAAAACTGCTTTGACTGCCAGCCTGGAAACTTCCACTGTGGAACCAACCTGTGCATCTTTGAGACGTGGCGCTGCGATGGGCAGGAGGACTGTCTCGACGGCAGTGATGAAAGAGACTGTCTTGCATCCGTGCCCAGGAAGGTGATCACAGCGGCTCTGATTGGCAGCTTGGTCTGTGGGCTGCTTCTGGTCATTGCACTGGGTTGTGCCTTTAAACTCTACTCGCTCAGGACAAGAGAGTACAGGTGAGGTGATTTTCATCTTCTTTATGCCTGCATTTAAACTCGAAGCAAAATGTGTCAGGAAATAGTGATTCATGAAATCTTTTTGTTTTTAACCCAAGGTATATGGTTTTTCATGATATTCTGCTAAATGTATTTGTACTGTTATCCAAATAATTTTACCTCCATAGTAAAACCATTGCTGAAAATCTAGAAAAGCACAAGTTTATATCCCAACGAGATCAAGAAAGAAAACATGAAGAGAAAGAGGATTTACTCTCTCTTGTTTCACTTTAAACATAATTGGATCTGCAGTAACGGCCCATATGCTGCTCTGGGAGGTGAAGCACTGTTTTTCTCCAGTTAACCTTGTAAAGACACAGCAGCACCCAAAATACCTGCACTTCATCAAACTGTCAAAGTACCGCTGGTTAAGTAACAGCTCTTGGAGATTCTTAAGAGATATCCTGCCTGAATGTGTTCAGTGTTCAGTAGCTTCCCTTTTATAAAAAGCTGTTGTTTTTTCTTATATTTTTAAACGGCATCAATCAGCATCTTTGTAAAACCGCTCTTTTTGTGTTCCTCTTTCTTGTAGAGCTTTTGAAACCCAGATGACTCGACTAGACGTAGAGTTTGTTCAGAGGGAGGCTCCACCCTCTTATGGTCAACTGATAGCTCAAGGTCTCATACCTCCAGTTGATGACTTCCCAGTGTACAACCCAACCCAGGTATGTGAATATGAAATTTAATTTATATTGAGGTAGCAAATACAATTGCAATTCAAATGTGAAATTAAGGAAGGGAAATTAAAGGGATACTCCACCCCAAAATGAAAATTGTCATTAATCACTTACCCCCATGTCGTTCCAAACCCGTAAAAGCTTTGTTCATCTTCTGAACACAATTTAAGATATTTTGGATGAAAACCGGGAGGCTTGTGACTAGGGCTGGACGATATGGCCAAAATTGATATCACGATATATTTCTTAATTTCAGTCGATACGATATAATTCCGATATCGATATGAACACTATTTATCTGAAATAGAAATCTTTTGTAACATTATAAATGCCTTTATCATCACTTTTGATCAATTTTAAGCATCCTTGCTAAATAAAAGTATTAATTTCTATAATTTCTTTCCCAAAAAAATTATAAAAATTATACTGAATGGAATAGTGTATAATGTTACAAAAGCTTTTTATTTCAGATAAATGCTGATCTTTGGATCTTTCTATTCATCAAAGAATCCTGAAAAAAAAAATGTACTCAACTGTTTTAAATATTGATAATCAGCAAATCAGCATATTAGAATGATTTCTGAAGGATCATGTGTCACTGAAGACTGGAGTAATGATGCTGAAAATTTACCTATGTATGATCACAGGAATAAATTACATTTTAAAATCTATTCAAAATAGAAAGCAATTTTAAATAGTAAAAATATTTCAACATTTTACTGTTTTTGCTGTACTTTGGATCAAATAAATGCAGCCTTGGTGAGCAGAAGAGAATTCTTTAAAAAAAAGAAAGAAAAAACAACATTAAAAATCTTACTGTTCAAAAACTTTCGACTGGTAGTGTAGGCTGATTATTCTTATAGATTGAAACAAATGTGCTTCAGCCAGAAAAAAAGGGTATGAAAAGTGCTCCGAGACGCTGCAGAAAACAAAAAAAATCGAACAATAACAAAAACTGGAAATGTTGCTGGAGACAGGCTTATTTAAAATGAAAACTCATTCTC